CGTCAGCCTTCCTGCTCCTCTGATACTGCTTGGCCTGCTGTGTTCATCCAGCTCTACACCTTGCAATCTAACGTTTCAGTCTAGATGACTCTTCATCAGAGCTGATGTGAAATGTGGAGGGGGCAGCATTTATGCAATAGTTGTGGATGAAGTGTTGAGGGAGAGAAAAAGAGTGCAAATAGTGCATATTAAGTGATTGGAATGTGAGAATGGCAGAACTGCCAAACTGGAAATAACAGATGCTCCCACGAGAGCAGGAGTTTGTGGGGGGAGGGGGAGAGAGGACATAGTGACAAGAGAATACAACAAGCTAAAATAAAGGGAAGAAATGGGAGTGAGTTCACAATCTGAAGGTGTTGAACTCAATATTAAGCCAGAAGGTTATAAGTGCCTAGTCTGAAGATGAGATGTTGTTCCTCCAGTTTTCACTGTGATTCACTGGATCTTTGCAGCATGTCGAGGAGAGACAAGTTGGCATCTGAGCAAGACACTGTGCTAAAATGACCGGTTATGGGAAGTTTGGAGTCATGCTTGTGCACAGGCCAGAGGTGTTCTGCAAAGTGATCACCCAGTCTGTGTTTGGTTTCTCCAATATAGAATGAACCACATTGGATGCAGAGAATGCAATAGACCAGGTTGGAGGAGGTACAGGTGAAATTTTGCTTCATCTGGAAAGACTGGGAAGAGATGAGGGGGCAGGTGTCACACCTTCTGCAATTACTTGGGAAGATGCCACGGGAAGGAGAGGTGGTGTCGGTGGTCATCGAGGAATGGACTAGGGTATCCCGGAAGGAATAGTCCCTGTAAAATACAGACGGGGGAGTAAGGAGAAGATGTGTTTGGTGGTGGCATTCTGCTGGAGTTATCTGAAATAGTGGAGGATGATTCTTTGAATGGGGAGGCTGGTGGGGTGAAAAGTGAGGATAAGGGGGACCAATCACGCTGTGGAAAGTGATGGGAAGGTACAAGGGCGGAAGCATGGGTAATAGGTTGGATGCAATTGAGGGCCTTGTCAATCACTGTGGGCGGTAAACTGTGATTATGGAAAAAGGAAGCCACGTCAGTGGTGGCATCATCCAAACAGATACGATGTTTTCAGCATGATGCTTCAGCTATTTGCAATAAGCACGGTCTTGACTGTATCCACCCTGACAATGTTTCCAAGAATTTCAAAAGAATGTCTAACATTAGATGGTTCTGCAATTGGACATTTGCTGCATAATCCTGAATGTGCAATGAATTACATGACAACCAGTTAGGATTATCATAGAGTCATACAGCACGGAAACAGACCCTTCGGTCCAACCAATCCATGCTGAACATAATCCCAAACTAAACTAGGCCCACCTGCCTGCACCTGGCCCATATCCCTCTAAACCTTTTCTATTCATGTATCCATCCAAATGTCTTTTAAACATTGTAACTGTACCCTCATCCACCACTTCATCAGGAAGTTCATTCCACAGGTAAACCACCCTGTGTAAAAAAATTGCCTCTTACGTTTTTTTTAAATCTCTCTCCTCTCATCGTAATAATGTGCCCCTTAGTCTTGAAATTCCCCATCCTAAGGAAAAGACAACTACCATCAGCTCTATTTATACCTCTCATTATTTTATAAACTTCTATCAGGTCACCTCTCAACCTCCTATGCTCCAATGAAAAATGCCCAGCCTATCCAGCCTTTCCTTTTAATTCAATCCTTCCATACCCAGCAACATCCTG